GCCGGGAAAACTAGACATAAATAGCGCTGGATGTACGCACCTGGCGTCAGACACATGCTTGTGATTTTATGTGTAAGGGAAATCATCCGCTCCAATCATGAAGACATGCTGATAACCGAGGGATAAGATAGCTAGGGGGCAAACACAGTCCATATAATGGGCAATCACTTCCAAAAACACGCATTATCGGACAGCAATGTCGTCGGCCTCGTTGCTTATGGCGCCTGCAGGTGCATACATAGGAGTGGGTGGATGTCCTGAAATAAACACGTTATCTGGTTTGCTGTAGCAGGCGGATCAGAACCGGCGTGACGTCTACACGCCTGGCTAGCCACTGTGCGCAAATTTGTTTCTGATCAGCTTGACGCAGTCACGGCAAAGGGAGATTGTGAGAATGGGGAGTAAGATCAATGCAACGCATGCCACCCTCAGTAATAAAAGTCACGCTTAACGACTCTCTCTAAGAGAACAACAGATCTCGAGTAGCGCAACAGACGAAGTAAAATAGACTTTAAGAAGCTGAATGGTGAACAGTCAACAACAGTAGATGCGGGAGGTAAAACGGGACTTACGGGCCAAGATGACCTTTATTTTTGCTTCATTAGACAGAGCCACATCATCGAGAAAATGGGGATCCAAGTACTTTCTGATTTCATTGGCTAGAAGGATGGCGATCATTAAATAAGGAAATAAAAATGGATGCAGAGGTGTCCGAATGCAAATTCCTTCAAACCCATAAGTTTCAAAACTTAACAGTAAGGCAAAAAATTGGCAAACGACTTGAAGCCGGGAATAGTCGTGAATTTGGCCAACTTACTGCGGTCTAGCGTTTCCTTAATTTTTTCTCTCCGCTCGGCAGCTAAAAGAGCTTTGTGTGCATCAGACAGTTGCTCGAAAATCGGCTGTAATAAAAAGCGGTAAATGACTAAGGGGTGCAGATTGAGAAGAAAAAAACGGATTAACGCGAAAACAGAGAAAAATTGGCCGTTTTGGAGGCAGCTGTTAACGGAGCGGACAGGAAGACGGCAGAAACGATACCGAACAAAAAACTACGTCAGGTCAACTATGAAGTCATGGTAGTAGTCTCATCTACAAAGTCCTTTTCCGGCAAATTACAGCCGAAAACTTAATCTATAAATAACGCTGACAATGTTTTCGCAGAATACGCATCAGAAGGGGACAGCAGACCAAGTTAAATCACTGCTGCAAGTCAGACATGACGCTTAAGACTGGTCGGGCCTCATCGCGCTACATACCAGAATACGCTACCGTGTACATGTATTTGTCACAGCTGTCTTCACGCCTAATCTAATTCACTGCAATGCCGCAAACTGTATCTCTCCAAGCATGACGATCCGTGGTGGCGAACCTAGAGAGCGGGACCCATTCTCTCCTTGAATGACGGAGGCCGAATATGGAAGGTCCAAGAATTAGCTTTATGGTAGATCGCGTTAGGGGACTAACTCATTCCGTCGTTCTTTGGGTCTCAAACTACAGCCGCGTAGACAGTCAAATGACTAGTAGTATACGCAGAGAGAGACTACTGACAAAGACAAGGGAGACTGGAATGACAGTTTCTGGTTTATTAGCCGTCATCAGCCAACCTTACCCAACCCTAGGTTTTCGGGCACCTGAGGCTTGAGCTCGCGCTCTTTTGGTTATTAGTACAACTTCCTAACCATTGAGCCACGGACTCGTTGTCTTTTCGGTGGCGATCAGGTATATTAATTATGGTAGAGGACGCTCACCGATCGTGTTACGGGACACATCTTCGTCAACTGTGGCGGGCCAGTTTGAGTAAACCTCTTCGACTCCTCCAGGTGGCAATGGTGCCGGATCGAGGACAGCCTCACTGAGCTCGAGTCCAATCTACCTCCGCCATCTTTCCTAGATGGCCTGATATCCTCGAGATGCTGTCGCAGCAAGTGCGGACTGTCTCAATTGAGATCAAGCCGATGTACTTCACTCAGGCAGTCGTGGTCAAACATCTCCAGTTTTTGCTTACCGTCCACAGGCACAGCCCAGAATATACGACCGTGTAGGAGGGCTGACCGGAGGGATTTCGGATGTATGAGGATCTTTGTGACTGTGGAGACATCGCGTCGGGTCCATAGACACTTTCACGGGACCGCAAAACCCTGGAGAGCAGCATCGATTCGGGAGACGCTGTCCTTATTCTGCCATTAAGAAGCAGCCCCATGCTGGGGTACTTGAAACCCCTTCAAGCTAATAGTCATTAAATTCGAGAAGTGCCTCCTGTGCGTCAGGGACGGCTCGAAAACACTGATCTTACCGGCATTTATGAATAAACCGACCGATTTAGCGACTTCATTCGCCTGGAACGCTGCAGTGCATAGGTCATTCATGCTTGGGGCTAAAAGTGTAGGATCGTCAGCGTGGTCTAGACCAAACAGCCGATATCCAGTGCAAAGTTAAGATGGTTAGAACGATGTGGAGTTCTTCCGAGAATGCAGTTAATGGTGCAGTTGGACAGAATGGACGAGATGGTGCAACCAAATAGAACACCAGACTGCATATCATTGTCCGGATGAAGATGTTCATACAGTAACCCTCCAGTCCTACATAAAACAGCCGGTCATTGACTGGTTTCCACGCAAGTAGACCATGGTTCGCTTGTTGCAGGACGATCGCCACACTGTGTCCACCAGAAAAATCGCTTTGGGTGAAATGGGAGTTGACCTCCAGGATATCGGTTGCCCGGGCGCATGAGTCGGCGATTCGGACGTTAGACAGGCAGCACACACCCACGCTGTATTGATTGCACCCTGTCAGACTTCGGATACCTGAGTGACGGGACTTTGCATATTCGAACATCTAGTAGCAAGGGCCGTTCTCAACTGAGTAGTCATGTCGTATACTACTAACCCACATCACTGGCCCAGAGCTGCGGAGCGCGCCGGTTCCCGCGGACGCCTTAAATGAATCGGAGTACCGTTTCCTCAGTAATTCTGAATACAGTTAGTCTCCTCCAGCGTTTTGACTCCACCACATAATTACAAGAAAGCAGTTATAAGCACGCTTATCTAATGGCGGTTCATGGTCACCAGGTCAGTAAAGTCATCGGGATCTGCGAAATTTTGTAAGGCAATCAGTGCTTCAACTCAGTTGTCAGCGTCCCGGTGGCACTGCCGCTGCTGGCCTGTGATAGCTTATTTGTTAGACCTGAAAGCCTGCTTAGTTCGCAGGTAATTTTCGCTGAGGGCCGTTGCGCTATCCGTCATTTGTGGACGCGCAGGGTTGTCATCAACAAGACTAACGGACTACCCGTCTTGCCAGTGACCGGCTTGTCGGTTGGGCTTGATCACAGGAAAGAATGCGGTAGCGCATCTCAGTTATCTCAAACAAAAGGAGCAAGTGGACTCTGGGTCAGACGTCCTATCTCCTGACTAGGAGTACAGCTGGCTACGACCATTCAAATCCCCTTTACGTTTTTATTGTACACACTTATACGATACGCTGCTTTACATTTAGCCTTAAATAAATTCCAAGTGAACTGAGGCAGCTTGGAAGACTGCCTATTCTATACATGTTCGAAGAAGACCGGCCTACTCAAAACGAAGTCCGTCTAGAGTTTTCAAAACGCATACGAATGCTGAAAGAAATTATTTTGGAAACGAGGGTAGTTTTAGCCAAAAATGACTCTAAGAACACGTACGTACGCAGCTTCTTGCTAGCGCAAAAATCGAAAATACCACTGTCGAAAATTAAATGTGCGTTAGCCTTTAACTACGCTTGTGTTGCTAATCATTAACGCTAGAACACCTACTCATAATTGCAGATGTCGTCAATCAGAGGAAGGAACGTTTAGAAGGACCGGTTCTTAGGGTAGCATTCATCAAGCTCGCCGGTCCACGCTCCTTGTTCGATTGTAACCACAGAGGACGCTATCTGATTAGCTAAATTAGCAACGAACGTCGAACAAGCCTGTCAGCACAGGAGAAGAAGCCGGGTTCAAACTTGGACGCGTGGGTGGCTCATAACCTTCGCTAATCTCGTCCGATCGATAAGGCATGACGCTTTAGCTGTCAAATGTGTAATTAGCACAACTGGGGTTCACTGCCAAGGAGTAATAAGACTATGTCGGTGGTGCTAGCCAGTCCAATTACTCAAGAATAGAAGTGAAGCTCCAATCCTTGTGTAAGCAGGACAGACGAAGATGACCTCATTACAAACGAATTGCAGAATAAACATTCAGCAAACAATTGGTATTGTCAATCTGTCCCTATATAAACTTAGTGTTCGTCCACAACAATAAGATGGGCACGAGCGTGTTTGGATAATAAAAGGCAACAAACTATGACCGACATAAAAGTCATTGTGGATCGAGAAAAGACGTGGCGAAACAGGAAGCATCGAGGTCCCCGGTTAGCCCTGCGAAATGCAGGATGCGTAGCTTTTAAGCTCAAATAAAGACAACCATAACCAGGAGGACTATCTAGAGGCACAGCCATGGCATAATTCCATAAACGGAATAGCAGTGGCTGTTGCTAAGACACCGAAGCAGAAAGCAACATTAAGTTCCCGATAGCAGCAACGGAGAAACTTGACCCACATAAGTATAAAACCAAATGACGGCGCCAAGTTAGCTGCTCGAAGCCCAGCGCCTGACACAGGGCTCAACGACTCCTGAGTTCTTGGGGTAAGGACGTGAAGTTATCAGTCTGAATAAAACTGCCTTGATGGACTACTTGAAGATTGCCTAATGAGGTAAGCGAATGAAATGCCAGAAACCCATAGAGAAATTTCGCAGTGAGACTTGAGAAAATTTGGGACTCACACGAGACGGAAGCTCGGGAAGGGCTATCTGAGACCCACCCAAAATAATGCGCTCGAGTTCTGCAACGCGAGCCTCCAGAGTCGCCACACTCATCTACGGAACGTTAGGATCCTCGAATAATGCAGGTTAATTTGCAAAGGAAAACAAGCTTATCTCAAAGGAATTACTATTTATTATGCTAAAAACCTAAGATGTCACAGCGTTAACGTGGGTTGGGCTGGGGTTGTCTTTTAGGTCTCATTTGTCCGATGAAGTCGAAGAACGTATACTTATTGTGCATGTAGTACTCCGGGGTCATATACGTATTGCCAGGTTTTTTTGGGAGGTTCGGCTTCTGAGCGGCTGCGAAGTTACCTACGTTGGCATTTAAAACGGTCGTGAAACCTGCCTTTGACAGTTGACTGGGGACCGCTGGTCACACAGCGGCACAGCTGGAGAGCGATTACCCGTGTCCTTGGCATCTCTAGAAGTATGTGCTTTGAGCTAGATCTACTCGTTAGTCATTCAAGAAGTCGGAAGAAAGTAACAAAGAGAATTTATTTACTTCATTTTGTACAAGTTAGGTGATCGAGGGAAATATCGTATGTTATTGGCGTTCGAAGACTGGCATATCACATAAATACATGCTGGGCTTATAACCCATAATGCTGGGTTTTAAACAGTCTTTAGTCTCGCGCATACTCGTAGATGTAACTGCGTACTTGTTGCCTAAATGCCTCTGGATCACGAGCGTATTGTTCAGCCGCTTCAGTATTAAGGGCGTCGTTGAAGTCACAAAGATCAGAGAATAACGATTCAATCCCCCAAACGACGTCGCATATTTTTCGTGTCGGCGCCCACCCCGAGGAATCCAGTGAACTGGGACGCAGCAGACTAAGACAAACACGTCCTTCTTCGTCGATATTGGGATGCCAAATCTTTGTAACACACTTAACGAGCGGTGGACAGTGGTTATAGCCCTCGGGGACTGTTATATCAAACTGAAAACGTCCTCCCGCCCAAAAGCCATCCTTTGGTTTGACGACTAATTCAAGTAGGTGCAACTTATTAGGGTCTATGTGGCGAAGTTCGCATTGTGGTGTGAGATTTGTTTTAAGTTCAGGAAGCTCCTGGAGGAGGAGTTTGTCGCGAATTGAGGCATTCCTTATAGATACTGAATCTGCTGAATCGGGCTCTTTAGACAGTTCCCCGCGCTGCCTCTGACGAATCCGATCGGCTAAACGCAACATCACCAATGCTTATGTTGGCTGACAGTCAATATGATTTTGAAGGTTGAAGTAGGAAGGTGTGCGGACCATATTCCAATTTTCGAAAAGGTCTGTATTATTTAGTACCCCTAATTGGTCTTTTTTAAATATAGGCAAGCGAAACTTATAATTCAGTAGCTGGTTAAACCCATATGGCTATCTCCTTCTTATGAGAGAACTAGGTCGGCAACTAACACTGAAGACAGGTTATCTACTCGTACTCGCAGTTCGAAGGGAGACGAAATAGAGATCGCCAGTTTAGCGAACATTTTCTTATGTACCGGTCCAGGCACGACATACGGTCCAGAAAGCTTGTTCGTTTCAAAAGAAGAGGAGGCGTTCACCGGGAGAGGTTATTTGAGGTCGGACGCTTCGGGTAGTTGTTTCTTCTACCCATCTCCAGAGACTAAGCAGTCATGCACACAGCTTTACTTTTCCGGTGCACATTGTTTGATGCCTGGCTTTTTCGTTTGTAGATGGTTAAACAGGCACTTAACATTTCTAACTGTCAAGGAGAAAAATTCAGCAACGCAGTATCCAGCCAGCATGCATGTAAATCTATGTACATTTTCGGTTTTTTACATCATCTTTTCTTCTTCATGCTGTTGTTTGAGTTTGCTAAAATGCACATAGTAACCGGTTTCAGATTTTGAGAGCGCGTGTTGTGCGTCCGCGTGCTGCATTTTGTCGCTATTTCATTGATTACGCGCATCTGCCTCAATCTTTTGTCAATTACCACAGACGGATTTTATTCCTCGGTTGTAAATCGCCCGACCTGAATTTTCCTCAACAACAAGCTCCACTAATCGATGTCAGCCCGGGCCTTTCTCGACTTTGCCCAGGGCATCCTTTGTTCTACAACGATTGATACTGGGAGAGGCCTTCATTTTTCTTGGCTCTGCACAGCTATTTACCTTCGCCGATTTACGCATGTTTTTACACCGTCGCCTTTTTGTTAGAGACGGAACGTCCTCGCTTTGAGTTTGATTTTTCCTGTATTTAGTGTTTCCTTCCGGTTTTAATTTTTGCGGGTACTCCAGACTTCTGACGTTGAGTCGCCATTTTAAACTCATTATTCGTGCAGACATTTTCGTAATCGCACATCCCTTGGCCAATATCATTGGGTATATATGAGCTTTTGTCTCCTTCTGATTGCTTGCACTGCAACGCTGAGGTCATCTGCCAGCACCATTTAAAGGAACTAAAATCATGCATAAAGTCTGGGCCGAATTCGCCGGCTACTGGCCTGACGCAAACTATTGAACTTTGCAAACACTGTGTCGTATTTGTGGTCCTCCCGCGTTATCTTTTCCACTTATTCGTTAGCAAATGGCCGATAACTTACATAGCAAAGCTGTGGCTGTCTGACCGCGTTATGCGTCAGTCAAGGAACAGGTTATTAATTCCAGGATTCTTTTCGACAAACCGCCGTTTGATCTTCAGCAAAACTCACGGTATGGAACTACTTCCGTCAGCAAAAACTGTAGTTGTCTGTCTTCGGGAGACATAGGCGAGTGGATTTCAAAATGGTAGAAAATTCACATCAATCAGCCTAGATGGAGAGGAATTGGTGACGGAAGAGAAGAGAGGACTTGCCGCTGGGGAGAGCAACTTGGCTATTCTCAGGGTACGAGTGATACGGAGGAACGCGGTATTACTCTGAAATCTGACAGGGCTCATGATGAGGAAGGCAATCTAGTACTGGCAAACACGGGCAAAACCGAACTAAACACTGTGGAGTGTTGCAAACTTGAACTCTTGTACACCAGTGCTCGGAGTCTGCTTTCCGAGCTCAACGAACTGAGAATACAGATAGCCGAGAGGTCTCCAGATGTTATAGCATTAACAGAAACGTAACTACCAAAACGTCGGGGATTACGATGTAGCACCATTAGAATGCCGATTGTTTAGGATAGGCAAGAGAGATCGCTTGGGCGGAAGAGTGGCCATGTACACAAAAAACAACTTATTAGTTTGTGAGAGGACCGACAAGGTTGCCGACGACGCGGAAGCCATTTGGCTGACAATAAAGATGCGGAGGTCTCAGTCCCTCGAAGTCGTTGCTATCTACAGACACCCGCGGATGGAACCCGACGCAGACACTTCTCTGCGGGAAAGCATAAAAGAGATCGGCATTCGACCGAACGTTGTAATCATGGGGGACATTAGTGCACCCTGTATTCAGTGGAGCGATATGCATGCGAAGTGCTCGAGGTATATCTACGATCACCGCCTCCTGAAGACAACACTAAAAGCTCTTCTCGTGCAGAATATTTTAGTTCCCACTAGGGTGCGGGGAGGGGGCAACAGACTACTCGTTTGGATATCGTCTTCACTAGAGATCCTGATAGGATATGATGAGCTATGCTGCGCACCTCAACTGGGTCGAAGCGATCATGCAATGCCTCCATTGGAGTATGAAGTATATAATGCACCGCGTGCAATAAACGAGACGAGGCCAAATATATAAGTAAACTAATAAAATAAAAGAATTTTCTGAAAGGCCCGCCGGGGTCACTCTATAGCAATTAAAAATAAATTTCCATACGAATTTTAGACGAAGTAGGCAGAATCTGTACAAAACGCAATTCAAAGTTTCTGAATTTGTAGTCCGTTAAGAAAAATCGTGGACGAGAAGTAAAAAAACTCCACTTAAGAATATAAAAATGATTGCATTAATTTTACAGGAGAAAAAACTGTCGCTCCAAATAACACAAATTGCGAGCAAGCCTGGTCTGCATGTGGCTGTGTATAACTGATTATAATCGGACCTCGTCACGGCAGAAAAAATGTCAGCCTTGAGGGGTACGTATGCGGGTCACACAGGACTGGCTTGCATGCGGTATGGTATAAGGGATTCAAAAAGGGCATCGTCAAGGCAGAATTCATATACCGGATGTGGCTCTTCACATCAGAGTGACGAGAGGGAGACCCACACGCGATCGGTCACAGTCTGCTTCGAGCCCAGCCGAGGGAGGGGCAAAGAAGTTGCTACCAAAATAATGGTAGACGGCGAATACAGAGGGTTCCATCGTGAGCGTCGACAGACCGCATGAGGTTGAAATGCGGGAGATGACATCAAGAACCGCGAAAATTGTCGCAATGGGGTAGCAGTGATAGCAGTGGATTTAGAAACCAATTCAAAACAGGTTTTCTAAATATATAATTAAGGGTTTCCACTTGATCTACCACTAAATCTCAGGAGGACCCTTCTCGAAGTCAAGAAGCTGAGTGTGCGCAAATGAGCCAGTTAAAAGTACCTTTATACTTTCCGGTGAAAGGTACTTGCATATATTCGACTTGAATGCCAGTAACTTAGGCGATGACCTAATTTCTGGCATAAGATTATTCCAAAGGAAGGCATATTTAGAAGCAAAGAAGAAGGAGTGCTTAGATATAGTGCAAATAGGCGAAGTCACCATGAAGGAGTTGCGCGTGGCATAAGACCAATCTCTCGAAGTGAGAGTGTCAATGAGCGGAAGATTAGAGCTCGAGTTAATGCGAAAAGGAAGCGAAATCCAGCTTCGAGTCTTCTAACCCACAAAAAGTTAATGTTCGCCAGCTGAAATCTCTGAGTATAAGAAGAACCGGGTGCGACTTGTGAGAACAGATTCCGGGTGAAAAGTCTCTGAACACTTTCGATTTTATTACAATCACATGAGTTCATTAAACCAAAGAAAGGACAGCAGTACTCGAGGACTGGAAGAACAAACATTTGATAAAATCTTAGTTTCCTATCCGGATGGAAAAAATTACGCGATAAGAACCGACAAATCTCCGCGGCTTTCGCAGTGATCCTATCTGCATGAGACGATAAAACAAGTATATTTGTATAATTTAAACCTAGGTGTTTTATGATGAGGCATTCTAAGAGTGGGTTATTCGGAGAAATTATGGGTTCAGGAAGTTAGGCCGGACCAAACGTCATGAAAATACACTTAGATGATGAAAAATCCATCCGTCAAGTTGAAGTCCATCTGCTTATGCGTGGTAAATCGGCATTAATGTTTTCAACACAAACAGTTGCGGTGTCATGGGAAAAAAATAAAAGTTTTCGAATTTCTGATTTCGTTGATATAAAGAAGGAGCAGTAGGGGACCCAGAACCGTGCCTTGAAGTATGTGAACCGCGATCGAGTGCGGTGTCGAGTAGTTATTACCGGCCATAACATTATGATGTCGGTTGGATAGGTAGGACCGGATGAAGTCGAGTAG